TGCATCGTAGAGGAGGAAAAAACTGTGCTCTCTGGATGCCCCCAGTACACCTGGAGCTTTACTTCAAATACAAGAAACAGCTGGTGCTCATGATTTAAGGCTCAATACAAATAGTACAGTGGATTTATTTTACAAGCTGTCTGGTTTGGCAAAAGTCCAGAATTCGTCAAACAGAAAGATAAGGATGATGATGATGACAATATAAATGATTCTTCATATATATATTGTATATATATGAAGAATATATATATATTATATATAGTTGGTCCTACTAGTGACATAAAAGAAGGGCAACCTCCGTAGGACATTCCAGGGCTGGAACATACCCTCAACTTCACTCGCAAGAAATTTACAGTGGGGTCTTCCCAGCACCTATAAAAATCAAAGGTGACCCCATAGACTTGACATGATTGTTCGTGAAAGCTGGACCTGTGAAGGCTTCGGGCAATAATCCTTTGTATTAACCCAGTAAAGGGGCATCAGTAACTATTTAACATGGGAAAGCTCCCACAGAAAGAACCCCAATATTTCAAAACCCAAATAATACTAAAAATGACCTAGCATCCAACGAGCGCTTTTCTGTGAACTGTTGAGATCTTTGTCATTAAGCCTCATGAAAAATCTAAAGGAATTTAGGGGAAAGGCCAATCATCTGATTCATAAATGAATGTCCACCTCTTGGTGACAATAATGATTCAAGCTAACACACACTGAGAACTGCTGCTGCGGGATAAGGTGCTTCATACTTTAATACGTCAGCTTCCTGAATACTCTTGAGACACTATTCTAAATACTACCATTATTCTCATTTTAAATATGAGGAAACTGGAGCTCCTAGAGATTCCATCAAGACCCGAGGACACATGGCCAAGTGAAGGAGCTGGGCTATCCTACTGCTCCTCACCATCTGTAACCCAGAAGACAGAAGTGGATGTGGTCTGTGTGTCAGTCCCCAGGTGGCTACAGTTCCATGGGTGGCTCTGGTTTCAAGTGGGCAGCACAGAGGTGACAGCTAGTCCCATCAACAGCCATGGACTATATCCCTCATCCTCAGCCACGTCACCGAGGTCTTCTTTTGGACCCCCACAAGACTGGGTGTAAGACTTGGGGATGGCTCAACAAACCCCACTCCACCCCCAGTACTGCAAAAAAAGAACTCAAAATACTTTTTTCCATTATCAATGGACTGTCCCTTTTCCATCCTCACTGGCGTCCTTAATAGTGGAAAATTCCATAGAGACTCATTTGATGAGGTACGGAAGCCTTCCAAACTTAAGTGTGTTTCAGAAATTTAAGTTGTGTCCACGAGTGTTTATGGCTCAAGTTTTCTCTTTTTTGGTGGGGTCTTCACTTAGAGAACAGAAAATATTAATTACTTGTCTCAGGCAAGAGACACACTGCTCTTGAGATTTTTCACCTGTAAAATATGGATAATAACATCTAGCCTACATTTTTCATGTGGTTTGGGGAGTACAAAAAGAATACAAAGAAGAGAGTTAAGAAAAATTTTATACCACAAGCCCTAACACCGTCTTCTCTAACTTTCCCAATCAAGAGGCCCCACCACCATACATCTCTCTCCTTCCAGCAGCCAGTTTTCTGTTATTTATGGCAGCTCTCATTAACCAAATTAAAATTTTTAATTTGTTTTCTTGAGTACTTTCTGTCTCTCCAACAACAATGAAATTCCATGCAAGAAGGAATTTTGTCTTCTTGTTTGCTAGTGCCTTGCCAGCATCTAAAACTGTCACTGGCACACTAGACGCTCAATAAATGCATATTGAATAGGAAAACATTTTTGTGTTAAAATCTGCACCTTTATAAACATTTTTAAAACTGGATTTCAGGTCCATAGAAATAGATTAATCATAATCCTTGGCTAATGGCGTGCTCATCATTGATCCATGCATGGCCCTCTTTTATGATTTATTTAGCTATTGAACTAGGGTTTGTTTTTTTCTAAATTAGGTAGAAATACCTGAAAAAAAACAGAACCTGAATCTAACTGTAGGTCCCTGGCCCCTATCTCATCCCCCGCCTCTCCCCATCCAAGGTAATCATCACTCAGAATGCCAGGCTCTTCACTTCCTGTTGTCTTAAGTCCATTTCCCTAGAAGCAGAGCTTGAGATGAGATTCTTGTTTAGGTGATTTTTTTTGAGGGAGTTCTCAGGAGAAGGGGAGTTTGGGAAGCAGGACAGGATCGGGGCGGGGGGCGAAGCTAAGGAAGGATGTGGAATCAGCTGGAAAATGTATTCAGAGTTCTGGAGCCCACATTGCACCACAGTGTGACCCTACGTTGAGGCAAAAGATTAGCTGTTTGTGCCCCCAAGTTAGTCAGTCATTGGCTGACATTTGGGGAGGTGATATAGGGAAAACAAGTGCATTGCTTCCTGTGTGAGTCAGCCCCTATTCGGCTAACAGCAATTCTCCAGAGAGGGAGGGAGCCTTGAGCTGTTGGCAGCCAACACTCATAGCAGCTGGGAATCGGTACACTTGAAAAGGATAAGGGGTCTGAGCATAGATCCTATCTTTCTTCCCTTTCTCTAAAATTTTATCAAATTTTGTATGTCTTCCTGAAAATGAATTATTACTTGCATTTTGTTCAGTTATTTGGAACTTTCTAGAAAAAAAATCATACTAAATTTTCTTCTGTTGTATATTTCAGTATGTGAAAATACCATACATTATTCACCCATTCTCCCACTGGTGCACTTGCTAGTTGTTTTTAGGTTTTTGCTATTATGAACAGTGTTGCTGTGAACATTCTCATTATGTCTCCTGTTGTATATGTCCAAGAATTTCTTGGGTTTATGCCTGGGGTAGAATAGCTGGACCACAAGGTGTGAACTTTCGAAGGTAATGCCAAACTATTTTCCAAAGTGGTTTTACACATTCATATGCCCACCGATAATAGAGATCCTATCATCCACCTCCTCTCCAACATTTTGATTTTTGTAAATTGAAAGAGTATAAAATGGCATCTCATTGCAGTCTTGACTCATAGGTCCTCAATCAAATACACCTGTTTCCTCTTCTGTGAAATGCTGGCTCGCAGCTTTTGTCCATTTTCTCTTGGTTCTTTGTGCTTTTCTTATTGATCTGTAGGAGTTCTTCATATGCCCTTTGTTGTGTGTATATGAATATAGTGAACATCTTCTAGTTTATAACTCTACTCCTCACTTTCTTTACGTGTCTTTTACCTAACAGAAGCTCTTAATTTGATTATAGTCACAGGTATTCTCTTTATGGCTTTTTATGTATTGTTGAAGAACTCTTTCCCTCAAGGGATCTAAAGGACACTCTCAGTCTTGGGGGTGAGGAGTCTACACATAGAGCCAGGTTACAGACCAGGCCTCCTGGGGCATTGCCTGGTCCAAGGCAACCCTGACTAGCCAGCACCAGTGACCAGCTGGCTGGTTGGCAGGTGTGTTCTGGTTATAGAATTGGATATATCATACTATTAGAGCTGGATACCATTAAAAATTCTAATCATAGACTGTAATTAACTTTCCTTGCTCTGACGCCCTGCTCACTAAACAACCTTCTGATTATAATTTGGCTTCCCATGTATCTTGCCTACAGGGAGAGAATGTACTGTGCAGACCGACGTGAGGATCCAATCCACTAAACAGTTACATGCCATGATGTAAATTAATAAATCCGTATTCTGATTTTATCATCTGCCTCATCTGAGCTCTGTGGGCGTGAGTCAGCATCCCCGAGTCTAATCAACATGGACATTGAGACTATCAAGCTCCTGAGCTGAAAAACTAAGAACTAGACCCAGGACCAGAGTGCAATCACCAAGGTAACACTGTGCCCTGGAGGCTCCTGGGCCTGACGGGGAGAAGGTCCTCCTACATGTCATGTGATACAGACAGGGATTAAAATTGACTTTTGACATTAGAAAGAGCTGCATATTCAAAACCATGGCTTGGTTCCATTCAGGTGAAGGCGAAGAATAGGAGATGATCATGAGACTCATATTGAATATTTATTGGCTTATGAGCACACACCAGATGCCGCACAAATCCTAGGCAGGAGGATAAGATTTACAGACATGTTTGAAAAAAGGAAAAAAAAAAGGGGGCAGATGGTATGTGCTGAGGAGGAATGGAACAGGAGAAGCCTGACTGATGAATCCTTGCTCCACCTTGACGCTCATGGTCCAGGATGCAAAATAGAAGTTGTCTTTAAAGACCAAAAGAAAAGCCAGGAGAAGGAAACACGAGGTACACCAGACTGCAAACAGGAATGTGCCAGGGCAGTGAGATTATCCAGGCCAGAGGAGTGATTTAGGACCCGTAGGGTGAGGGCAAGATCTTTGAAGTGAGGTCAAAAGGCAAAATAGAGGTGAATCCATTAGGACACATGGGGATAATTTAGCAATCCTACTATTAGATCACCACTTCATTAAGGGTTCCTGGGTGAGCAGTACCTATAGTGACACAGATCCCTTTCTGGGACCCTAGTTACAATGTGTAACAAAGGGAAGAATGTGATCAGAACTGTTATATCTGGAAATTTGGGGCCCAGTGATGAGAAGTGATCCACTATTTAATATTCAGACCCCAAACAAAAACCAGAAAAAAAAAAAAAGGAAGATGGCCTCTACTGATAACCCTACAAGATTTATTTTTCAAAGACAAATATGTTCAAGGAGTGCGATAAATTAAATTTCTATGTCACCTCTGAGACTGATCTCAAAGACAGGCATTGTCGCCCACAGTGTGTCCTTTGGGGCCCCAGCAGAGCAAGGTCACCAGCCTGGCTAGATTGTACAAGGCCAGGGAACCATCTTAGATGTCTTTTTTGTTCTAAAAATGAGGTAGAGCCATGCCACCCAGTACGGAATGATGCTAAGTGTGGCCTGCCCAACCAATTATGTGAAAGGAAGGGCACACAAAGGGCTCAGGAAACAGCAGGACCAAAGCACAGCAGGGTGACAAGAGCGCCTCTCTGAGGTGCACCACCAGCATGCATGAACTTCAAGGATGAGGGCTGGGGAGGGGCTGACATGTGCCCCCCACAAAACCAGAGGGCTCTGAGTCACACATGGAAGAACAAGCTCCCTTTAATTGTGGCTTTAGCGAGCACGCGTACACGGGGAGAAATAACTGGAGACTGAGTGGGGCTCCTCATCTAGTAGAGGTTGTCCCGCACATGCTCCATGATGGTCTTCAGGCCCAACCAGGTCTCCTCTGCAGTGGGGATGATCTGGTTGGCTGGCAGGAGGAAGCCATAGTGCCCAGTATCTCTCAACTCAAACGTGAATGCATACTTGATGCCATTATCATACGCCCAGTCAATGCTGCTCCCGCTAGCTGGATCTGTAAGTCAGAAAAGAAAGCACCTTGGAACCCCAGTTCCTTTCAGGGTTAGATGAGTAGGCCTCAGGAGTTCTGCCTGCCTGTGGTTCCTGAGGGATGTAGAATTCTTTCTGAAGGTCATCAGGCCACCAACACACAAACACTGGCCTGATCCATATGTCTCAGGCTGTCCTATAGGACGAATGTCTTCATTCATCTCAAACCAAGAGATTTTAAATCTTCGTGCCCACCTTGTCACTAACTCACTGTGTAGACTCCTTCTGGTCACTCAAAACCAATTTTCACAGAGTGTGATAGGTAGCCTCCAAGACAGCCCCAATGATCCTTGTCTCCTGGTCTTCATATCCTTGGGTAGTCCCCTCCGACACTGAGTGGGGCTGCCCTGACCTGGGTAACTAACAGGAGATTGCAGAAATGATGGTGTGTGACCTTCAAGGCTAGATTATAAATACTATGGCTTCCGCCTTACTCTCTCTTGGATCATTTGATCTGGGAAAAGTCACGTGTTAGAGTGTGTGGACGGTGAGAGAGTGTCCTATAGACAGGTCTTGGTGGTGAAGATTGGAGGCCTCCTGCTGGTACTCAGCACCTGAGTGAGCCACCTGAGAAGCAGACCCCTCCAGCCCAGTCAAGCCTTTAAAGGACTCTAGCCATGGAAGACACCTTGACTGCAATCTTGGGAGAGGTCCTGAGCCAGAGCCACCCAGCTAAGCCATTTTTGAATTCCTACCCCAGGGAAACAGTGGAAGAAAATAAATGTTTATTATTTTAAGCTGCTAAGTTTTAGGATAACTTTTTACATAGCAAGAGATAACTGATACACAGAGAGAACGAAGCATAGCCTTTGGGATTTCCCTTTGCCAAAAGGCTGGGGAAAGGAAAGAGGCCCATTTTCCTGCTTCTTCCAGCCAAACTCTACTAGACCAGAAACTGGCTACAAGAGCAAAGTGTGAATGACACTGAATAATAAAATAGTGATGTCAATAGCAGCTATCATTTATTGAACATCTCCCATGAGCTGGTCATCTATATTGGAAAGTTTACATTTATGACTTCATTAATCTTTAAAAACTCAGTGAGGTGGGTATCACTGTCCTTGTTTTTCAGAGGAGGAAATCCAGGCTCAGAATGAGGAATTTATCTAAGGAAATATTGACGGAAAATGGCAGGACTGAAACTGAAACCCAAGGCCATCTGCTGAAAAAAAGCCCATGCTTTCCTCAACCTCCTTCCAGTCCATTTAGCATAGTACATGTCTGTTAAATGAAAACACGGGTCCTTTTGTTTTTCCATCATTCTCGAGGGTTGTTTCTCATGATACCACTTGTGATTTTTCTAGACATGCTGCTTCTACTCTGATGACACACCCCCTGAGGTTATGAAACAGGCTCTCCTATAGTCTCTGAAATCCTTCCTCCTCTACCATGAGAAAATGCTGAATAAAAAACAGATGATGGCACCAGAAGTTTCTAGAGGTTGTTTATATGGTAAGCTCAAGTATTTCAGAACACATATTAAATTCAGGAAGGAGGCAAGAAGTCCTCTGCCGAGCAAAGTGATCAAGTGCATGCACTTCACTTTATTTGGGTCCCTGCTCAAAGTCTATCTACTCTTTTCCTTTAAGATTTTATTTATTTATTTGAGAGAAAGAGATCACAAGTGGGAGTGAGGGGCAGAGGGAGAGGGAGAAGCAGACTCCCCTCTGAGCACGGAGCCCGATGTGGGGCTAGATCCCAGGACCCCGAGATGCGGGGCTAGATCATGACCTGAGCCGAAGGCAGACACTTAACCAACTGAGCCACCCAGGTGCCCCAGTCTATCTACTCTTTTAACATTAATGGGAACATAATATTAAACACACTGTATTTCGGGCTCCTCGCTCAGCAGAGAGTCTGCTTCTCCCTCTGCCTCTGCCCCTCCCCCCCGTGCTCACTCTCTCTCATGTGCTCTCTCTCTCAAATAAATAAATAAAATCCTTTAAAAAATAGTAAGATAAATTCAAAATTTAAAAATTTAAATAAATAAAATAAAAACCACACTATATTTTTCAACTAACATTTAAAGATTATTCCCTATTAGCACATACAGACACACCTCATTTATTTAAGGGGGGCACACTGTTTCATTGTGTGCCTGCACCAAATTTGTTTTTATTCAGTACTGTACTGACGGACATTTAGGTGCTCACCAGGCTTCTATGACTATAAACAATGCTGTCATGAACATCCTTCTTACTCACAATCTATCCACGAGTCAAATAAGCCCAAAGAACTTGTGTCCCAGCCTTTAGTAGTGAAGAGAAGGGGAGAAGGTTGCTAGAGGTAGGTGGCCTGAAAGCAGTACAGTCTGACCAGGGGAAGGAAACATGAAAACTCTAAAAAAGGCAGACACAAGAATTCAAGAAGCAAAATGGGCTTGGGGCTGTCCAGCACAGGGATTGAAAATACAATATGGCACAGAAGGCCTTCAGGACATTACAACTGATGTTCAGAAGGCCACTCCGTCATGAAGAAAGGAGCTTAAATCCCTTGTACTTGCTCTGTTTAAAAAGGCAAGAAAGTGTGAAATTTATTTGAGAATTATTTTCAGCTGAAATGGTTGATCTAAGAAAAGATCTGGCACTTGAAGGGACAAACGTCAACTATTCATGTAGCACATGCAATAACCCATGGGATCGGAGTGTTATACAAAAATTGACTACATTTTTGGAAAGCAAGGAGGGTAGACAAAGCCTTTAAACAATACAGAAGATGTGCTCTTGAAAGACTTAGGAAATAATTATGTCTTTTGGATAGCACTCAGGAGAGCCTTCCTCCTCTTGTTCTGGAGGAATCCGATGAGTATCTCTAGATTTTGGCATAGCATACGCTGGGAAGAATGTGTTTGATGTGGGATTACAAGGCCATCCTTTAAACTGGTGTTTGACCCAAAAGCCAGGACTGTGGTGACCCACAAAGCTCTTTTGAGAGGGGCTCATCAAAGGACTCCTACCAAGTCTCTTCACCTCTCTGCAGTCCTAAACTCAGTTCTCACTAATTAAGCAGAGGATGGAGAAACTCTCCTGATGTGTTTCTTCTCTGAGGAGTTCCCATTTAATAACACTAATAATAATCAACCATGAATAATTAACGGATGGTCGCTGCAATTAGCCACACAAACACCAACATCAGGCTAACTGCTTTATGCAGCAAGGTGGTATATGAAGCACGGACAAGAGCGCTGAGGTCAGAGTACAGGAACCCAGGAGTGGGGTGGAGAAACTTCCCAGAAGAGGGAGACTGAAGGGAACAGCTAGCTAAGGGTGGAGCAACTGGACGGGAGAGTTACAGTATGGAAGAAGACAGAAATGTCAGCATGTTTGCAGGGGCTCTGACGGTGGACCAACTGTTAGAGACAGTAGATGGGAAAAGAAGGGCACTAGCTTTAAAGGTGTCAGAACCTTGCCCTCACGTCCATATTTTTATTTCCCATTGATAGCTAGACTCTCAGAGAATGATAATATTCTTCAATTTGATCTTTAAGTTTAAAGCTTGGGCTCACGGAATGAGGGAACTGGAAGGATCTCAGTAGGAACAGAGTGAAATGCTCAGATGAAACACTTCAGTGAGAAACCAAAACAAAGGTATTTTTCCTCAAAATGAGGTTGAAGATGTAGGTAATGAGCCTGAAGACCATCTCAGGTTTGGCGTCTCGGTAGAGTTTGTTTGTTTGTTTGTTTGTTTGTTTGTTTTTGGCTTGATGCTAATCAATGCAAAGAGGACCCCAGCTCCCGGCATGCTGTGCTCCACCACGTGGTCATTTCTGATGGGAAGGTGAGGGAATCGCTTCCAGCCCTACTCCCGCCACCTCGGTCTGCCTCTCCAAAAGTGGGTTTCCTTTGAAAATGGAATGATGGGCTTGAGGAATTTTTGATAAACTATGACAGGATCTTTCATGGATTAGAAGGGACACTCTAGCACACTAGCAGGACTAAGCTCACCACAGGCACAGGACAGATAGCATGACCGTGGTGGTGGTACTGATGAAGATGACCCCCTACAGCAGCCATCATCCCAAAAGCTTGACGCAAATTCAGTCTATCACCAACGACAAAAATAATCAGGCTACAACATAGTAAGCCTAATTTGCAGCTCTTCTCCCAATTCATTGCAAGTTTCCTCTCCAAGCATTTTCTGAATAACCAAGACAGCGAGTACTTACAGACAGTGGTGCAGGTAGGACCCACTTGGTATGTAGTGCCCGACAGGGAAGCCAGAGCCTTGGCCGCACACCTCGCCACCTTGTCCTAGGAGGGGGAACCAGCGGAGTGAGAAAGAATGGATCCCACAGCCTGACATCCCTCAGCTGTTCTGCACTACGATGGTGTGGAAGATTCTCGGCCCTTCCCTCAAGTTTCCCTTCCGGTCTCCTTCTTTTCCATCCAACCAGAGCCGAAGCCTGATACATGAGATGTGGAGGGCTGCTCACCAACCCAATCTAGTAAATACACCATCTTCACCTATGCTGAGGGACGGGAATGTCATGTTCACGAACATGCGGGAAGGCCAAGGATGTTCCAGAGAAAACCTTCCAAGAGTTGGGTATTCCCAGAGTGGAGGTGGAGACAGGGCCACCACATATGGATATGCCTATGCCTATTTGAGATCAGAATCTAGCCCACACCTAGCATGAACCCTGCATCTGCTGGGAGGTTTAGAGGCTAGCTGTGCCCCTGGGCAGGGGGGCGCTCTCGAGCGGACCAGCACAGAGGGAGCAGCCTGCAGTCACCCTACAGATGCCAGCCCTGCTTGTCAGTCTACCCTAAGTGCCTGTTCACATCCTAGGGTGAGTCATTATATGCAACGCAGAGCACCCCTAGGCTGTAGCCTGCACCCTACTTAAACTCTACCTTGACCGGAATGAGGAGCACCTCCCCCTTACCCACCACAGTGCCACCCACAGTTCTTGGCAAGCAGTGGGTCCGTCATACATTTTGGTCAGAAAAACAATTGAGAAGGAAAGGCAGGGGTCAGGTGTGGTTCTTGAAACTCACAGCAAACACAGAAACAAGGAGAACGGCCTTCTTCCTGTCCCCAGTAGGTCCGATGGCACATTCCAAAGGGCAGGGAGAGAGACCAGGCCCTTAATGAAATAAGTCCAGGCTCCTGGACTTTCCCTATAAGCTGTAGAAGGACTACTGTGGCAGCACCCCGGGGTCAAGCAGGCCCAGGTCTAGGTGGAAGGCGTCCCATCACTCACCAGTTCATCAGCATCTGCGGCCTTCTTGACCGTGTACCCATACGGATACATCAGCAGCTGTGAGTAGCTGTGCAAGTCGATGAAGCATTTGAAATCCCCATGTTCTTGGATGAAATCTACCACCGACTTCACCTCCACTTCCGAGTTGGCATGGGGTCCGTGGTATACTTCAGAGCAAGGGTTGTCACTGGCTCCCTCTCCTATGGGGAGTGGCCCAAGCAGAAACACGAACCCATACGCAAGAACACAGAAATGCAGGACACTCAACCCGGAGGAAGGGCAGAAGGGGCTGGCTGTGAACAGGTCAATGTGAGGAGCCCCCCAGGAGCCTAGTCCGCAATATGTGTTGCCAGGCGGGGGGTGCAGATGTGGGAGGGTACTGGATCTGCCACAGCTGAGGAAGAAAAACTGGAAGGACTCCTTTAAATGGATAGAGTTGACCTTGTATTGCATCACTAACAGTTGTCATAAATAATTCATATCATACTTGACAGTGAGTTGTAATTAATAAGTATTCTAGATAATTAATATGAATACCAATTAATAATGAAAATGACTCCATTTATTCTGGTGTCAACTCATTCTCTTGGTTCAGATCTTAATGGCCAAGTGCTGCCAAAAATAATCTATTGTTGAGGCTAAAGCCTCGCATTTGACAGGTATTTAGAAATACTGCCTTCTGTACTACTTCACGACATAGCTCCCCGAGGTACTTGGCATGTGTGTAAAACCACCCCACTTGTGGGAAGATCTGACTTAACTTTGATGCCCTCAGTTTCCACATTTCTATCAGCTCCTTTCCCACAGGCCCATGATTCTCCCTGCCACAGTGTGTGTGGCAGGCGAGTGTGCAAGTGCAAGAAGTACGTTGAAGACAGGACATCAGCCCAGCTGTGGAAGAGCGACAGAGAGCACTACCGGGTTCTAGAGATGCAAGGTGAGGCTCGACTCTAACTCTTGACTGCCTGCTCCTGAGACTGTCTCTGAGCTTCAACTGTCTCCTTTCAGATAACAAAACTCACTCACTGGGTCAGGCGAATAAATAAGTTAACACACAGGAAAATACCTGGCAGCCAGTGGGCAAGACTGTAGGGATGATTTTTCAATAGCTGGAACTCAGAATCCGGGTCTCCTAAGCCTCGTGCCCTTTCCAATGACACCAAAGGGCTGCACGTCACACTGACACATCTAAGGGTCAACTGCTAGAGTTGAAGCCTCACGACATCCCACAATCTGGTCTGTTAGGGCAATGGTGCTAACTGCTCTCTTCCCAGTTACCACCAGGAGCCCTTCCACCCACCTAGTCACTCGCTTGGGAGAAACAGGGATGACCAGGGCACAGGGGGTGGATCTGTACATCTAAGACTAGAGCCGTTTTTAAAATAGTGTTCTGGGACGTCTGAGTGGCTCAGTCGGTTAAGCGTCTGCCAGGGTCCTGCGTTGGGCTCCTTGCTCAGCGGGGAGTCTGCTTCTCCCTTTGCCTGCTGCTCTGCCTACTTGTGCTCTCTCTCTCTGTCTCTCTGTCAAATAAATAAATAAAATCTTCAAAAATTAAAAAGTGTTCTTTCAGGAGAACAAGAATTGTTGAGTCATTTCCTTTCAAAATTACCTACCCCCAAAAATTTAAAAAAAAAAAAAAAACCAACCCGAGACAGAGTGTAAGGGATTGGCCCAAGTCTCTCAGTGAAGCAGGAATGGAGCCAGCCGGAGCCCCGTGGACCAGGCTCCCAAGGGGCAGCAGGGAGGGAAAGCCACCTCCCCAGTCTACCTGCAAAACTAGCATTCCAATTTCTATTTGGATCAGCGCCAACACAAGGGCTTCCAGGATTGTGGGACCGTGTCTTCCTCCATAGTCGGTTCTGAAAAGTCCACCAAGGAAGGAACAAGCATTCAGAGATGGTCAGGGCACAGGAGAAGTGAAGGTGTTCTCTGGGGGGTCTATGATGGAGCAAGCTGCCTGCAGCTCTGCCTGGAGGATCACTGGGGCTCCGATCCTCACGGACTGAGCAGTCTCCTCTCGTCTCCCAGAGAAAGGAGGCTCAGCCCTTTGGGCTCAGAGAGAAGGACTCCTCCAAAATGCCCTGATGAGAACTTCATAACACAAGAAACAGCCTGATGCCACCTGAACCCAACGAATAATTTTTGGCTTTGGCAGAGGGAGGACAGACAGACATCGTATGCCCAGACGATTGCTGGTGGGACAGGAAGTGCACAGCAACTGTTTTATTCTTGCCTAAAAAACTCACCTGAATCCAATCAAACTTCAAGCTCTGACTACTAGTGAATAGGAAGGGAATGGGGGGGTAGAGGAACAAATGACACACAACAAAGAAGCCATCAGCCAAATTGAGAATGTGAGACATTCTACAGAACAATTTACTTGGTTTCTCCAGCACATGAATGACATTTTTAAAAGAGATGTGTGTGGCAGGGGTGGGGGCGGGTAACTGCCATAGATTTGAAAAGCCTGCAGAGCCATAACAACCAAATACAGGTGCAAACCTTATTTGGGTACTGATTTCAACAAACTGACTCAAAAGACATTTAAAAGATAATTGAGGGAATTAGATGATATTAAATAAATTCAATTAATTTTTTTTAAAGTGACAGCCGTGTATTGTTTGGGGTTTTTTTGTTGTTGTTTTGTTTTAATTATCATCAACCAGAGATGCATACTAAAGAAATTTGGCGTAAAATAACCTGATGTCAGAGATGTGCTTTTAAACAAAAGGAAAAGAAAAATGTGTGGGAGGGGAAGAAATGAAAAGAAGATTGGTAAAGTGTTGGTAATTGTTCAAGATCCATGATAGGGAGTTCATTAGACTATTCTAAGAAAAAATATTCTCTGGTGACTCTCGGCTAAGGGAACGAGTGAAAAATGGGAGCCCAGGGAAGCCTGTAACATGCACGCGTGTTCCTACAACTGTTCAGGTGCTACAGCAAGGAATTCAACAGACTCTTCTTAACTTCAAGCCCAGCTCATTCGGTATTACTCACTTGAGTTTGTGTGTACACATATCCGTCAGGATTGGCCACAGGCAACAAGAAAATATCCATTTTCTCCAAAATGGAGGTGATGGCTGGATCCTTCCCGTAATCAGATACAATCTAAACAGAGACAAGAAGCTTGTCAGCTATGCCATGGCCGGCTGGGGTGCCCGGTCTAAGCCTGTGTAACTCCCCCAGATGCCCCTCTGCAGCCCCCCTGCCACCCTCATAAACACAGCTCTCTGCAAAGCTCTGGGAGCGCTTCAAAACCTGGGGGAACATGGCGTCATGATGCCATCAACTGCAACGAGGCCGGGCCTGCCTGGTTGAGTCACTCCTTCCACGGGGTGGGAACCAGGGAGGGAAGAGCCACACATCATCATATAGTTTTGGGAAATCTGGGCCCCCATGCTAACAGACGCGGAAAATAAATCCTGCACACACAGCACCCCTCCTCTCCCTAGTGCTGCCTTAAAGCAGACTCTCGGAGCGGGTGGCGGGGGAGGTGACATGGAGGCAGCATGAGGTCGCTGAGGGTCTGGAGGGCTAGGGTGGGTCCGAGGGCAAAGTTCATCTGAGTTTTGCTGCTGAGAAGACTCGGCTCCCTTTCTGCAGGGCTGACTATGGGTCAATGTTTCGGGGCCACCTCTGCAGCTCATTAGCTTGCTCACTGCCATGAAGGGACTTTGTCATTTAGCCACAGTGGCTTGACCAAAGGGCTCTGACCTTTTGCTTCTCCAATCGGGAAAGGCCCCCCAGCCTACTGTGTCTGTGCAGAGTGACTTCCCACCTCGTCCCCCCAGGCCCAGCCCCCTGGGACCCTGCAGAGGCACCCTGGGCCCACCAGAATTCTCAGCTAATACCGGGCGACATGACCTTCCTCGCGGTCCAGATCGCCGTAGCCTGCGAGATCCACTCCCGGGAGTGGATGCCTGCGTTCAGCCAAATGGCCGGCCGCCGCCGCCTGCCTTCTGCAGTGCTGAACTGTGGAAGGACAAAGAGTCCAGAAAATGACCCTCCTGCCCATGTCTCCACTCACCTCTCCTCTCCCCAGCTCACCCCTATTCATTTAATCCATTTAAGATAATTCAGAGACCAAACGTTCCTGAGGGCACAATCTATTTATCAGGCTTATCCGTGACCAGGGAGCTTAATTGGGTGGCTGGCGAGGCCCAGCCGCAGCCCTGGGCTGCTCGAGCCGCTCTGGGGTTGGAAGCAAATGGGAAGGGGAAACTATTGCTATTGTGAATGAGAATACCAGTGTGATCAGAGATAATATTATGTCTCTTGAAAGACCTCAAAGGGCATCCCAACAGAGAGAGACACAAGAGTGCAGGAACCAGCCTGTTCTAGTTGATGCAATAAATGAATTTGATTTTAAAAGGAGGAAGAGAGAGGTTCACTATACCTCTTTGGAAATGGCATTAAATGAATTCTGGCTCCTGCCTTATTTAAGGGTGGGGCCAGGCTGCGTTGGGTCAAAATGTGGTGCGGATGAAGCCAGAGTCTCCATCAGGTTGGCAAATAATCTCAATTTATGTGGATTATTTTAGAGCGACCGGCTCGGTGGCAAATCTCCTCTGGCTGGTAATTCAAGCCATGAGCCTGGGTTCTTCAGGGCTGATATGAAGCTAAGGAACTGAAAAATTCTTAGCACCTTCAGTTGTTCCATGGTTCATACCTCCAAATTCCTTTTTATTCATTTGGCTGGATTATTTATGTAATTTATGTCCCTGCCATAAATTCTCTACCTCTTTTGCCAATATAGACCTGAATCTGTTAGAAATATCTAGAAATTAGGTTTTGTGCAGCCAAGGATCATAGGCTGGGCTTAAAATTACATCAACCCTAAAATTAGCTTCCTAGATTGCTTTTCCAATAAGTACCCCTAAAAGCAGAATAGAATTTGTAGAACTATCCCAATTTGACTTGCTTTTTAGAGGTAAGAATGAAGGCAAAAGATTGTGGCCCATCTGAGCGCTTTCTGGAAGGCTAACCGACCCACCCCACCCCCATCCCCACTACCCCTCACCCACTCCACCACCACCACCCTACCCCGGTTGATCCTGCCTTTCAGTCAAAACTTGCAATGGGATGGACTCCTTCTAAGTTCTAACTCCTTCCATGTTAGGCAAAAACAGGGGACTCTCGGTCACACCAAATTTGAACCTCAGTAGATGTCTCCCCACGTCCCTGAAGTCAAGGAGAGCCTAAAAACCTGCCTTCTTCAGAGGTCTGAGGGCTGGGTCCTGGACATGAGGGACCAGGAGCCTGAGTCCAGTCAGGCCTCTTGAAGAGCCTGGGGCCTCACCTTTAGTACATACATGGGCCGGTTTTCAAACGAATGCCCAATCTTCACCCTGCTCGCCAACTCAGGAAAATCTCCAGCAATGCTGTCCATCTCACGGTAAATCTGAAGCATGAAAAGGTGAACTCAGGGGCATTTGAAAATTTTGTTCAGCTCTGGGTAGGTATCTGCGAACTTCATCTTACTGATCCCAATGACTTCTTCATTGATTTGATCAATGATTAGATCCAGCCCTGTGATCTCAGGGTTGACAGTATTATCACCATGGAATACTTATTCTTGAAGAACTGCCTAAAGAGTCCTTTTCTACAACATTCTAGAGATTAACACATTTTATCTGTCCATAAAATTATAGGCCACTAAATGAGAGAGACTTGTGCACATACTGCTCTAGCAGTGCAGTCCTTCATACCACACCAGACTGGATGATCAGCAATTGCCCCATTTAGCCAAGGTTCTTGAAAACAGTCCTCTCCAAACCTTTTGATCACTTCCTCCACCAGTTTTTTTTTAATTAGCATACACCATATATATATGTATATATATATATGTTTTATAACATACATATACTATGTGTATTACATATATACAATACATTATGTATACCACTGGAATAATGTACCAAATATATTATGTACATTATAAAACAAGAAAAAAGAAGCAAAATGGTGGCATTAATAATAAATATAAACGTATGTGGGATGTAAATAGAAGTTGTAATAGTTTCTTCCTCCATCCCGGTGAAGCATCTTGCTTACACCCTGTAGTGCAAGCACACCACTTTGGAGATTCCTCTAACGGCCCTAAGAGAACGAGTGAAGAGCTGTAAATCATGGCTACAAATGCTTCCATTTGGTTTCAATTTCTAAAAAAACTTGATAAATAGAGTTCATCCATCTTAGTTGCTCAAAACTTCTGAGGGCAAAAGAAGGAAATAAAGAAATTCATATTTAGATCTTAAAAGTGGAAGAGGGAGCTTTACAGAGGAGAAAAATACACAATCAATAGTGAATAAAACTCCAGCTTCAGTGGTTTATCAGAGTGGCAGTCAATATGGCAGACTGAGCAGAAGCAAGAAACCACCCCCCAAATATATACTCAAGCCAGATAAACTACAATGAAAATAATTCACAGCCAAGCTTAAAAATCAAGAAAGGAGACATTGTAGGGGCCAGAAGTGAGAAGGGACCTAACCAGCTGAGTGGAGGGCAGAAAATGGAGCCTCAGGACCAAATACCTGCCTTAGGCACTGAGGGTTTACAGCAAGTCAGGAATAGTGACTGAAGGCACAGGACCAGGGTGGGCCAAGGAGCTGGAACTTGAGAGCTGAGAACCATCCATTCCAGCCATGAAAAGGGCCTGGAAACTCTACCTACTGACCCTAGAAAGTGAAGCAGAAGCCGGATGCCCACCCTGAGCCATGAGAGGCAAGAGAGTCCCCCCATGAGAAGTTAAAATACCAAGCTATATAGGGAGGGAGGGGTCCAAATTCACACTGCCAACATGAGGGGGACACTCAGCCGGGAAACTAACAGAAACAATGGCAACCACAACAACACACAGAAAATCTGAAATTGGAAACCCTGGCTGAGACAGACATAAGACTCCCACCAGAGACCCAACCAGGCCTAAGCGGTTATAGGATGAGAGCTCTTCAAAGCTGTTTTTAGAAAGAACTGCATGTGATCAAGACAAGAGGGAGACAGTACACCGAGGCACAGCAGAAGGCCTCATGGGGGTAGGGGGGCGTGGGGGAAGCTGCAATCAGACAGCAGTGACCCCTAAAGCCAGAGAGCAAAAGCAAGTGCATGAGAAAGTGCGGCTCCCATAGCAGGCAGGTGAGGGGATGGAGTTCCTGGGGTCTCGGGTGACATTTGCAACCACTTAGCTCAGCTAGGGAGTGTGCCATGTTAACGAGGCTCACGTCATGGGTCTGAGCCCTGTGTGAGCCCTGAGCTCTGCTTTTGTCCATGGCCCTGGACTGAACTCCTAACTTTATCCAGCTGTTTTGCAGATGTATTTCATTGGTCACAAAAGGGATCAAGGGGCAGTGCAGTTGGAAGTGTACACAATAAACAAAGCTACTGACAATCATGGGAAAGAAGTGAAAACAGTTGGTCAACCTTGGAAATAATCCCTCATCTAGAAGAAAAACAACTCAAAGTATATGCCTCACAAAAAGCATGCCAGGAACCCCATCTTTGGATATAAAGAACAACGTGTATGCAGGTATGGGAAGGAGAAAAACAATTTCATTTTGAAGTGTTGTTCTGAGCTAGTAGAGAGTGTCCAGACTAATGTAGAAGACATTAGGGGTCGTAAGGAAACTGTAGGATACGTGATGCAGTCCCATTCCATAGCCCCTCTTGATTCCTAAAGTTCTAGTATCATATTAAGTGGTTCTGCTCCAAGTTTTTTATTGGAAGGGTTGGCTTACCTTGAAAGTCAGTCATCTATATAAAGTGGTTTTTAACTAAACACAGCACCAAAACACATTATAGAACAAATATGCATTATAAGTAATCATGATAAATGCGTGGAAATATTTGGTTAACCTTGGAAATAACCACTTGTCTACTTGCCTGGAATAAGTAACATTTTAATCTGGGTGAGTAAAATACAGGGATTATGGTGGGGTATAAGAAGGTTGAATTACAAGGATGGAAATGATTGTAATTATTTCATGGTTTTCTTTCAGGGGTTGCCTTAGAAAAGAAGGATGCATGTGGAAGAAAATGTTCAGTTGTGTTTCACTATGCTCTTAGGTGCTGGTGGGAGATAAACAACCCAAGAATTACAAAACAAATTGAAGTGTTCACATTTTAGCCCCTTAGTGAAGGGGTACTGTGCTAAGGACTAATGCCTCCTGGAAGTTAGGAAAGGGGTTACAAAACCCAGGATGCTAATGACCTTGATCTTAACCTGCTCTGAGACACTTACAGCTTCCAGGGAATGGTAGGCCCCATAGTTGAAGTTATTACTGCTCCGCTCTTGTCCTTCACTGTGTTGCATTTCTTCATCTTCATTATCTAAAAGGGCCTAAAACAGACACGGCAACGCTGTGATGTGACCCACTGGAGATGGAGGTTCATGTTGTTTCTGCCATATTTTGGCACAAGCTGGCCAAGATGGCGGCACCCTTGGCACACAAACGTCAAGGTGTGAAAGACGGTCAGATTTCTTCCACATATCTATAAAAGCTTATTTCTTGGCACCCAACGTACATCACCCCATTCAAAACCCACTTACTCCCCAAAAGCAACATATGTGCTATTTGGTTATTCTATACTATGAATTCTCTAGACATCAGCCCGCATCTGGTATCCAGTGTCTCTGAAATACACAGCTTGGGAAACCATTCAGAAACAAAGAAATTCTTATAACCGCTCATACTTTGAAGGCTCCTGGCAGATGTCCGTGACATGTGAGGATGATTAATAAGCTCACAGCTGCTCACGCCATCAGGAAACTCCCGCGCCAAATCACCAATTAGTCCATAACCCACCTCGGTGATGGAGAGAACATGAGCCAGACACTGTCCTGCTGTTCAGATACAGGTCCTGAGGCTTGTGTCTGGCTTGGGTGGTGATGTTCCCTCTGCTGAGAACTACTGGTGACATTCCCTCTTTCTCAAAAGATGCTTTTTATGACTGGTCTCCAACACCCCCAGCATCCCCCCGCTCCCACACACACACTCTTCTTCCCTCTGACTTCAAATACAACAACGGAGAGAAGGTTCGTACTTGTGGGGCATCTATGACAGGCCAAGTACCATTGGGCATTTCACATACACTTAATACATTTAATCTTCTCAATAAATTGTATGAAGTAGGCATTGCTGTTACCATTTTACTGATGAAGAACCAGAGGCTCAAGACGTTAATAGCTTATCCAAAGTCACACAGCTGATAGTTAGCAAAATCAGGATTTGGATACAGATCTGTCCAGTTCCCTAACCTATGTATGCCCTTTCTACTACAACATGTTCCCACTAACAAGTCACTGCATTTTACTTCCATGGACCTCAGTGAGTTCATCTATAAAATGGAGAAGGATAAGACCATGACTTGCACATGTCTCGGGTCCACTCTGGGTACTTTGTCCTATGCAAGACCAGTTAGGGACCTCGGCCTACCCACCTGCAGGTCTTCAATTGTCACGGAGTACTCTAAGCCCTGGGACTTCAGGAAGGATTTCACTGGCTGCAGACTGACAGATGGGACCAGGACATCCATGGGACGACCAAAGGTGGAGGGAGATTTCCAGACATTGAGCTGAAGAGAATGGAAATAAAACCAGATTAAAGGACAGTTCAGGTAAAAGGCACAATGAGCTCATTCTTCTAGAACAACTGCCAAAAGCAAGGGTGATCCCTGAGGAGCTGGGTTCTGCCCAAGGGCAAACTTTGCCCATTTCACAGCTGTGTCTGGTCAGGCCTACCCAGAAGGCAATACCTGGCAAAATCTAAGAAGTAGTAAGTAGTAAGTAGCAAGAAGGCAGATAGAAAGACAGAGCCCACCGTTGAGGCTGCCCAGCTCCCAGGACAGCAGTGCTGTGATCTACAGCACTTCTCCCCATCAACCCTCACAATCGTGTGAGGGCCTGTTGACTAATACAGGACTATACTAACAAAAACTCTCCAGGAGTAACAATGCCAGTGGTGCAAGAGTCTCCTCTCACCAAAGTCAGAGATACCCAAGAGGACAAAGAACTGGTACCTTAAGGTTGTCTGAATTCACTAGCTGACTTAGTTTGCTGATCTCGTCTCCATTTCTGACGTTAATCCTAAAAACTTGGTCCCTGGAGGGAAAAAAAAAAGCAAAAGATAATGGTGAGCTTTCAGCTGGCAAATAAACCCCAAGCCTATGTCCCAGACATAACTGGGCCGAATGAGAGGAAATGGTCTAGTCTTTGGTTATAATGTATAGCCATTAAAAATAAGACTACGTGGCAAATATGAAAAAGTGCTTATAGTATAACTTGAAGGGAAATATTAAGTGAAAGAGCAGGACACAAAATTGTATGTATGCCATGATTACAAGTATGGAAAAAGCAGATGCATTGGAAGAAAAACAGACAACGGAAATATAGCAAATGCTGACAGTGCTTATGTCCGGGTCGTGGGATTATGGATGACTGACTTTTTTTACCCTTGTATCTGTTTTCTGTAATGTGGTCATATTACTTTATAATGAAAAACATATATATTTTGCAGAAAGGAATGTTCCTGAGTTACACGCAAAGCTAACTCAAGACATAACGAAGCACTTCTTCACTGTCAGGGGCGAGGACTGAAACTCTGGCTGAAGGTCCACGCTGGAAAGAGCTGGAAAAGAGAAAAGACCTTCCATCCTCAGAGGGTTAGCTATTTGCTGGGTGGTCTCTCAATCCTGTCCAGCTCCAGAACTCCATACAAATGCGAAGTACAATACGGGCTAGGGTGCTGGGGCTGACTTAGGATTCAGTCCTCCCAAGGGGGCCCTGAGAAGGGCCCCGAAGGGAGCCGGCCAGTCCCGAGCCCCCCTTTGTTGTTTGTCCTGAACTTGCTTCATCTACACCATTTAGCTTCCGCAGCAGCGGCAGGGGCCGAGGCCCCTGAAGTCCTGTGTGTGGGTGGGAGAAGGCCGAGCCTGAAAAGCTGCCTTTGTGCTCTCAGCCGGCTCAGGGAGCCAGGGGAGCCATTAGGCCGTTGCTAGGTGACGGCCCGAATGAATCCGCACTCGACGCTGTCACATGCGTCATCCCTTTACACGAATGAATGCGGGAAGAGCTGCTGGAGAGGGCTGTGGGCTGAAGGACCTGTTGACAGGGAAAATGGTTCTGTCACAGGGAGCTAAATGTGCAGCCTCACGTGGCAGATCCACATCTTCTCATCAGAAAACCGGCTCAATCCAGATGGGACTCTCAGGGTTTCACTTTGTTCCGGGAGGTTCTGGAGAATCTCCAGGGGGTCTAGTCCAGCCCCAAAGAGGCAAGGTCCACCGCAGAGTTGCTGCCACTGCGGGTGGCAGGTCTGGAGGAAATGCCAGTGCCAAAGGGCTCACTTTCTCCCGGCTCAACCAGTCTCCACAGGGTCCTTGGAGATGGGCCGCCAAGCACAAGCCCTGGGAGCTGCTGAGGCCACAGTGGAGAAGCCACTGGCCTGGCAGGTCTCAGTATGAACCCAACAGGAGTTGCTGTTGGGTTGCTTGCTAGGAGTTGAACCACAGCCCTGTGAAGATGGGGAGTCAAACCACCATTTCCCCGACACAGGCAAGCAGCCTCCCAAAAAAGGAACAGGTTTAAAACAGAAGGGAAATCCTTACTCCTGGCTAAGTACCAGGGCCCATCTGCCGAACTTACACTCTGTCACAACCCACCCCCAACACCCCAGAAAAAGAGGAGTCTTTAAAATGAGTGTTCTAGAAAGCACCTGTGCACTGACATCTCTATCCGCAAAATGAGGCATCTGTAAAATACAGCACTGACTAGAACAATGACAAGGAAGGAGGGGAGAGAGAAGGAACAGGAAGAAAAGAGGAACCTAAGAATAAGGGGCTCTCAAGAGTATGAAGATCATGTTACACAGGCACCCAGAGCATGCAGTTTATTTTTCCCAGAGTGGTGACTTCACAGCAGAACTTCCATACTCCTGGGCACAGCCCATGTCAGTGGATCTAACTGGCCCTGAGCATGAGTAAATCCACAGCACATTTCATCATGCCCTATCAGCCAAGCTACAGAGGACAAAGACACAACTGGAGTACAGAGAGGCAGAGTGGAAGGGCTGGTGCAGAGTGGAGCCCTTCCCCATCTGTTTCTCCTCCACCTCTCCCTCCTCCACCCTCTCAGCTCCAGCCTTACTGAAATCCCAAATTCACCATGTCCTTTGCCCTTCCATGCCTGTGCACATGCTGTTCCCTCTGCCCGGATGCCCAGCCCCTTTCCTTATCTGCCTAGCAACCTCACACCCAGGCTTTAGAACCAACTGTCATCACCCATGAGGTTCCCCCTAACCTAGAGGCAACATTAGGGACAGTCTTCAGAGGGCACTAAAAAGGGGGGGGGTGGTTTGGCAGATCTAACACCATTCTCATGAACATAAGTCCATCAAAACCTAGAAGCAGAGAGAACGTTAAGTAGGTGCCGGTGAAGGGCAGCCATTTTCTTGCCCTAATCATCCTTGTCTCTATTTGAAAAATGCTCTTTCCCAGTCCTGAGAGTGCGGATAGCTGAACACAACCTATCTCTGACGTCTGGAAATCCATGCAAAGATCTCAAACTCTCTGCAAATGGAAGGTTGGTCTGGGAGAGGGCACATACTGGGATTTGCAAGTTGCTGTGTCTACCCCTGCTACTCCACCCAGGTGTTCTTGGTGCTCCTGGCGCCCTCTCATTCACCCTCACACTCATCCCACGTTTTTTTTTTTTTAAAGATTTTATTTATTTATTGGACAGAGAGAGACACAGCGAGAGAGGGAACACAAGCAGGGGGAGAGGGAGAGGGAGAAGCAGGCTTCCCACGGAGCAGGGAGCCCGATGCGGGGCTCGATCCCAGGACCCTGGGATCATGACCTGAGCCGAAGGCAGACGCTTAACGACTGAGCCACCCAGGTGCCCCTCATCCCACGTTCTGACAGTTAATGGCCCCCCTGGTGCTGAGCTTCTATCCCTCCCTCGTTTCCATGCAGGCAAGCCAAGGGGCCTGTTCTTTGTGCCTCTCTCGCCCATATCCCCGACCAGGCTTAGGAGCCACCACAAGAGTTGGTTTCACGGAACTCTTAAATGCCTGCCAACTACTGCTGATGTTCCAACCGGTTCTGCAACTACGTTCCTATTCTCTGCCTGCCCTGTACCTCTAGGCATTCTGGCCACCAGCCCATCCTTAAGATGACCAAAGGGCAGGACAGAAGACACCAGCAGAGCGAGACACTGGGCGGGGGGGGGCAGTAGGGCATTAGGTGGAAGGAACAAAAGCTGGGGGGTGAGAGTGGGGGAGAAAACCCATCATCTCCATCTCCATTGGTACTGTCCCCGCTCCTAGCCAACCTGTGCTCTGGCTTCCCACCACTTGAAAGCTCAGAGAGGCCAGCTTCCCCTTGCTAGAAATGTTCACTGAGCTGGGTGTGTGGGACATGTCTATGAGCCCCTGGAAGGATCCCACCACCTTTGCTGGGTTCCCTCCTATAAGGGGAGAACAGATTTTGGGGTGAGGATGACACCATCAGTTAAAACCATCTGCAATTAGCTCAGACACGCAGCCCTTTCTGTGTAAGCTCCCATGGTGGGCACTCCAGCGCCAGGCCCAGCTGTCTCAACTCAGGTGTCCGCTACGTTGTAAGCGAAGTCTGCATCCTGAGAAATAAAGATTTTTCCAGCCATGTGAATAGCTGCAGTGAGAGCCTGACAGCTCCATGCATCAGCCACACGGCAGCAAGCGTAGTTATTACACACCTACTGCTGAGCTGCCTGTGGAAAAATCTCCTTCTCTGGCCACCTGCTATGCCTAACCCCTCTGAGCTATTTGACAGTAGACACCAGGTGTGAAAAGAAGTCATCACCATAAAAATTACTCAATCTCATATAAGTAATTACCTCAATAAACAACCCCCAAGTACCTTTAGCCAGCTAGCATATTAGAGAGTAAACTAACAGATACAGATATATCTGTGAGATAGAGGATTCTATCTGGAGATTAACTTGTGTTACAGCAAAAGGGTATGGGTTTTGCCTTTGGAGTTCCAGCTCCCCTGCTTACCAGCTAAGTGGCATTGGGCAGGTTCCTTAACCTTTCTAAGGCTGAGTTTTTTCGTGTTCAAATTGAGGAAAATAACACCCCCTGCCCGGCAGAGTTGTTGCGTGATCCAAAAGATAATGCACATGAAAGCTCTTTGCAAATGGCAAAGCATTAGGCAGTAACGAGTTATTAGAATTCCATCTTCTAGCAGGGGACCATGGCATCCTTTCATCTCTCCTACCTCCCAAATGTCCTCTCCTCCGCAAACCGCAAAGCATTCTGCACAGAGCGTGTTGAGCATGTGCGTACATGTACACATGCGCACGCACACACCTACACACACACGGTGTACAGATGTGCCCTTACATGTCAAGTCTCACCACTGTGGCTAGGCAAGAGCTAGTGAATCTCCATGTCCCAGGCGCTGATGAGAGAGCCCCAGCTCTACAAAGCCTTCCCCGCTAACAGAGAGGTGAAACCAAAGAGCCTAAGACCCAGGTTTTCCCCTAAGCATGGCAGAAATTAGAAACAATTTCTGGGAGTTCCTGGTACTTCATAATATAGAAGTAAGAAAGTAGAAGAGGCCTGAACCTGACTTTAGAAATAAGAACTGGGAAGGAAAAGAACTGGCAGGAGATTAGGGAGCCAGGGAGGGACTAGAGAGGCCACCTTGTCTGATTTCACAGATAGGATTGAGCCTAAGAGAGAAGGAGCTTGCCCAGGATGACACAGGGCAGAATTGGGACATGAGCTCATGTCTTCTTTCCCAATGCCAACTCCACTTGAGATATAATCAGCCACTCATTTTCAAATCCATTTGGTTCCCATATCACTGAACCAACCAAGTAATAAGTCCAAAAAGAACTTACCCAAAAAACCTTTTTCGGCCACAGATGCTGAGCCCGATCAGGGCCCCAAAGAACAGTATCCACTTCATGTCCCAAGGGTGTCAGGCATGGAGTGGCTGAGTCAAGCTGTATTTATAAGAAGTGTGAGGCAGACTCGTGTCCTCAAAAATGCTACTGTGATTCCCAAGCACCCTTGCAACTGTGATGGTACGTCAGGCGGGCTCCTACCAATGCCTCTTCCATTCCTTTTGGGTGATAAAGGCCTCTTGATTTACAAGATCAGGAACTTGCTCCTCAGACTGGAAGTCTGTGCCAAAGGTGCCATATTGCTCATCACTTGGTATTTAAATAGTGTTTTTTCAGTAAATAGGGAAGTCCCACAGTGCTGGAAAGAATTTATACTGAGAGGCCAAATTGTAAACCTGAAATGGAGTTACCTCTAGAGTTAAAAAAAAAAAAAAAAGTGAAGACTATCAAAGAAACCCCAAGCCAACTCCAAGACCACACACTTGATAAGCCCTGTCAGAGAATTTCACCAGAGCAGGTCATGATGATGAGAGTTTGTGACCTTTGTTATGAATCTGACACCTAACTCTTATGACTCCACTAAAAAAGTAGAAATATATGAGGGAGGTCAATGGGAAAGGAAGAAGTGTTAGTCTGGATAAAATATCAGTTTTCCTTGGGGTCTGAGTAAAGGTAAGGCTTAATGGTATTATTAATAATGAGACTTTTTTACATTTGCTAGACTCTGAGTCTGGTGTCCTTTCCACCAAATCACATCAGAATAAATGAAAGGCACTCATGATCTGCATGACTCCTTAGGGACTCTGAGGCCTTCAAGTCTGTCCTGGGAGCTCCAAATCCTCACATTCAGACCCCCAAACCCAAAGCCTCCCCCATCCCACTGTCCCCATGGTCTATATCATTCTTTCTGCTCTTGCTCAAGGAGGGTGGATACAATCGATGGTCATTGTCGGGGTGTTAAAGAAAAATTATTCTGAGACTTGTTAAAACTGTAAGGAAGACTCTATTCAAGATTATTACAATAGGGCTCACACAACAGAAGAGAGTAATTGTGTTCAACTCCAAGTACAGTAAAGAGAGCAGAGTGAAGGGAGTCAGTGGATGGAATACTGCTAAGAGGAAACATCAAGGGTAGGGGTCTTCTGGTTTAACTGGACTCACAGGTTCTTGCCAAAGGCAGACCAAGGACTTAAGTCAACAAAGTTGGAGGACGAGGAATTCAATCAGATATCAAGGACTAGGGGATGATTTAGCAGGATTCTTTGCTTAAGACTGACTTAGACAGGGGCCAAGGACAAGGCCTGGTCAAAAAGAGGGCCCAGAGAAGCCGAAGTAAGTTTGGGTCAAGGAGAGTCTTTGTCAGGAATTATGAAACTGGGGGCTTTATCAGGACTCTTTCATCCTTTGAGCACTAAAACAGAGCTCCTACACACACCCTGGTCCATAACAATGGTTGGGCTCCGAGATAGATTTCAGCTTTGAAATTAGTAACAAGAGAAGCTGGGAGCTGAATCTGCAAGAAATGTGAACTAAAGAATCAAGGACCCAGAATTCTAGGCAAGCTGACATTCACTTCCCACCTTCTTCTCCCAGAGAAAACCATCAAAAGGAAGAAAATCTCAATCCCTAATGGAAGTGAATGTCTTAAAAAATTAAATAGAATCTGAGACCCAGGGGGGGCACCTGGGTGGCTCAGTTGGCTAAGCAACTGCCTTCGGCTCAGGTCATGATCCCGGAGTCCCGGGATCGAGTCCCACATCGGGCTCCCTGCTCAGCAGGGAGTCTGCTTCTCCCTCTGACCCTCTTCCTTCTCGTGCTCTCTCTCATTCTCTCTCTTTCAAATAAATAAATAAAATCTTTAAAAAAAAAAAAAGAATCTGAGACCTAGGTTTGATTGGTATCATTGGTTTGGGTTCCCACTTGTTTTTATAATGCAGCATACTAGAAATGGGAAAAAGCCAAAAGCAACAATGGGACCAGAAGATATGTAAGTATCTAGGACAATGTGTGACACAATGTAGTTGTTTAATTAGTATTTATTGAATAAAGAAACTCGAAAGTCCCTTGCTAGCTCCAAAATGCTACTCTATTAAGGTGAAGGGGCTGACACATGCCACAACATGGATGAACCTTGAGGACATTAGGCTAAGTAAAACAAGTCAGTCACAAAAGGACAAATACTGTATGATTCCATTTATACGAGGTACCTGGAATAGGCAAATTCATAGAGACTGAAAGTAGAATAGAGGTTTCCGGGGGCAGGGCAGGCGGGAGAATGGGGAGTTAATGCTGAATGGGTACAGAGTTTCAGTCTGGGATAACTAAAAATTTCCAGAGATGAATGATGGTAATGATTGCACAACCTTGTGAATGTACTTAATGCCACTGAATTGCACACTTAAAAATGGTGAAAATGGTCAATCTTATGATATGTATATTTTACCACAATTTTTAAAAAATTTTTAAACGATGTTGGGAGCCTTTTCACTCAGGATGGGTTTTGTTTGTTTTTAAAGTGAAGGGGTACAGCTCAGTAGCTTGTTATGTTTTAGGGCAACATAAATCAAAGAAATAGTGCTCTAAGATCAGGATTAGAAAAAGGAATAATCACAACCCAACTCTGCTTCAAATCAAAGAGCTTTTAATGGTGTCTATTCCCCAAAGCCCTAATAGGGATGGTCTCGCACATGCTCCATGATTGTCTTCAAGCCAAGCCAGGTCTCTTCAGCTGTGGGCAAGATCTGCTTGGCCGGCAGGAGGAAACCATATCGACCGGTGTCCCTCAGTTCAAAGGCAAATGAGTATTTGATGCCATAGTCATATGACCAGTCAATGCTTCCTCCACTGGCTTGGTCTGAAGGGCAAATGAGAAAAAAGTCTGGTTATGCTATTCCCTCTGGCCTCTCCAAATATATAACCTCTATGTTAGGTTTCACCAATACCAAAGATAAGTCAGGCCCCTCTGCATGGTCCTTGAGAGCAGGGATAGCTTCATAGGGAGTCATGCTTATGAAAAAATAGAAGATTAATTTGAAAAGCAAAAGGTGTTATTCAAATGGACGCTATACTTAGCCTTCCTTTGGCGTTTTTAGGAGCCTCTGGCTTCACCCACCCATTTGGAATCCTGCCTGCTCTCCTAATTGGCATCTTCTACACCTTAAGGAGGCCACACCACTTCCTTCTTTAGAGGAGTGCTAGATGTAGACATTATTTTCTCTTGTGGGAGAAGAAGGATTACAAATAGAGTAAGAGATTTGGGCTCTGCCCTCTGGGAACTTTCAGCATAAGGGTGGAGTGGGTTTTATTCTGACATCAAATAATATGCCCAGGACTTATACACGATGGGTTATACCAATAAAGTAATGTGCACCTGTGTAAATTTTGGCCGTTGACATGACAGATGATGAAGGAAGGTGGCATTAAGCTACAAAGACTTATGACAATCATGACTCAGGAGAGCTGAGCAATGGACGGGCTCTGAGGCCCCTCCCAGGGAAGTCGGGTAGAGGTCAAATGGAAAAGTTGGGGGCAGAGATGGAGGAAATTACCTAGCCCCTAAGAATGGGGCTGGATGGAGGGGAAGACCAGGGTGTTGTACCAGGAAGAAGTAGGATTAGTGGTTAATATTATAAATTAACACTATAAATGCCTGTGATTTGTGTCTTTGCCTTCACCCAAATGGTTGCTGACTTGAACTGAATTTTCCTGGGTACCAAAATTACTAACTTACGCTATCTGACTACAGCCTATACCACTAAGAGGTCCATGGTGGACAGAACACTGGCTTCAGACTGAATCCTGATTCTGCAAATCATTAGCTGGGTCACCTAAGGCACTTACCTCTCTGAATCCCAAAGGTTTCATCTGTCAAATAGGCATAATACTATAGTACTTATTTCACAGGGAGAATTAAATGGGAGAATATTATGTGTATGATTCCAATACTTGTTGAGCACTTACTAAATATGTTAGGTACTATGCTAAATCGGTTGATTTAATCCTCACATGGGTCCCAAGACAGATACTAGTATTATTCCCATTTTACAGATAAGGAAACTGAGGTTCCAAGAAATTAAGGGAAGGAGCTGGGATAAAGTATGTAGGATAAGTATTCAATAAAGTTCAGTTGTGATTATAACCACCATTATCAATAAACGACTAGGATCCTATCAAAAAAAAGCCAGACCATGTGAAAGATAAGAGGTACCTGGAGGGGAGTAATCCACCAGGAAACTAACAAGCAACATTTATATAGTGCCTTACAGTTTGCAAACACTTTTATTCTACATCCTGTCTTTTGAGCCTCTCAACAACCCATTTCACAGATTAAAAAAAAACAAAGGAGGATGAGTGACCCACCTGAGATTACTCAGTTCCAAAGTGGCAGAACTATAACTCAAACCCAGGCCTCTATCCCCAAGGTCTGGATTTTTTCACCCTCCACCTCTCTGAGAAAGAATTCAAGTGACAACTTCGCCTATTGTAGTGCAGCTCCTCAGAGCCCTTTCCAGGTGAGAAATTACCCAGGAAATGTCTCGCCCACCACAGGAGTCCAGCCACCTCTTGGGTGGAGTGAAGCAGGTGTTCAGCCCAGAGCTACATACCAATCTAGGGCAGGAGGCAAAAAGTACTTAATTGGGACCTGTTCTTAGAGGCAGTGCTTGTCCATGCTGGCATGAGGCCAGAATCAAGGATAACAGAGTCAGCTCTGGGCAAAATGCAGCCCGAACTTACTTGACCATTAATGGTCAGGTTCCAAAAGATCACACAGCAAACGCTACATATGTCTGATACTTGCTTATTAGAAATATCTGTAACCTTACCAAGAGAAATACACTATACCTGAGCCTTCCAAGAATACGATGGTTGAGACCCCATGTGGAGAGCATAGGATGCCATTCTGCTGACATTCTCAACTCCAGCCTCCACTCAGAGGCTGCCCAACACAGAAAGCATGCAACCCTCAGCCTTAAGTGGCCATCCTGGCCTTCCTCCCCAGCGCCAACAATCACAGGGCCCTCCTTCCTGGGGGTTCCTCTGCCAAAGGGGAGAACAATCCCCCATGGAACGTG